AGGGTAACCGTCTTCTAACTTTTGTGGTATTTCCTGACATGATCCACCTTGAAGGCTAACAACAAGTAAGCTTCATGGTTTCCCATAGATTTGAACGTGACATTTCCCAGCATGCTTAACCAGGGAAATTTCAAAGACAGCAGCTGCCTTTCCACAGCATGTTCAGTGGGGTGGCTCTGAACTTGGTTACTTGTTCATGGTTTGGTGTTTGTGTGAGGCCAGCTCATTTGATTCTTTTGGTGCCCCTAAACATAGATTAGGGATGGCCACCACCTCATCATGTTAATCCCCTTCCTCTCTAGAACACTGGAAAAGAGCTGTTGGGTATAAAGAGCTTAATCTTGTGGAACATCTGATGATGTTATCTAGTCAGGGAATGAAACATCTGCCAGCCAACAATCCAACTCAATGAGCATCAAGGATTCCATAGTTCAAACTTGAGCTACAAAGATTCTCATTCCGTTGGAGAATTTAACCTTCTAGCTCAGTGTTTCTCAACCTTCTCAACCCGCTGCTGGCTGGGGGATTCTGGGAGTTGAAGTCCACCCATCTTCAAGCTTCCAAGGTTGAGAAACACTGTCTAGCTAACATAGTTACCTAGCTGTTGACTTCATGAGTCTGAGAAATATGAACAAAATGGTGTAGTTAACCTATCAAGATAGAAATCTCAGTACTGCCTCAAGTTAAAAAAAATGTTGCGTGCATTTTAGATCCAGAGCAATGGAAAATCCAGCGGCGATTACAAAAACCATCAATTTTTTTTTGTTTATTTTATATGATGCATGTTATAACAGCTTTCCTCCGATACCTAACTTACTCTTCCTATTCCACTCCCATCTTCCTCCTATTTAAAGGGCAGAGGTTAAACTTTCACTTGTTGGCTATTGGGAATTAAAGACCTTTTATTAGAAAAGCTCTGGAATATCCTGCCACATTTTGTCTAAGCCTCTTTTGCCAAATAGATATTGATATTGTGCTCATTATAATAAAAGCAAATTGACTGGAAGAGTTTGGCAGGAAAAGAAAAGTGTCTTTTCTTGATTGGTCCAAGGAGATTGGCAAATGTTAGGCAAAAGACTCCATAAGCTGACATTAGTTGACATTAGCGCCTGACTAGGTGGCTCAGTGGCTAAGACACACTGAGCTTGTCGATCAGAAAGGTCAGCAGTTTGGCGGTTCAAATCCCTAGTACAGGTCTCCTGTGTGAGCAGGGGGTTGGACTAGATGACCTCCAAGGTCCCTTCCAACTCTGTTACTCTTACTATTATTAGTTTGTCTTTTGGGGCTGATAGACATATTGTGAATACTGAGAACATGCTGTAGGTTGTCTTGGCTGGGATTGGATCAGCTATAACAAAGTTCTAGGTTTATTTATTCATTTCATGGTGTCTGCACACCTCTGCCTTTCAGCACAACTCCCACAGGTTTCCACAAATACAACTGAAAACCAGACAATGACACACTCCCCACGGGTAACTATTCCATCACTTCATCTTGTTTCAAAGACTCTATTGAGCAAAACTATTTTGATCCTTTTTTCTTAAAGTCAAGAGGACAAGGACAAGTTTAACCTCTTGGGGGAAAAAATGACTCCAGAAGGAAAGAGTGACTACAAAAGAAAGATTGCTCTACCTTTCACCCATGTCTTGAGTGGAGAGGACTTTAAGTTCTCTTTTCTGGGATGAAGGAACAATGAGATCGGCCAACCATACATGGAGGAGACATATAGAGTTACCTGTGACCAGTGGTGGGATTCAGCCAGTTCGCACCTATTTGGGAGAACCGGTTGTTGGAAGAAATCTTATTTTGTTTTTTTCCACTTTACAGGGCTAATCCTGTAAGGAAGGCAGGAAGGAAAGATTCTGGTGGTGTTTCTAGCCTAATCTTTATTGCCCTGCTTACCGAAACTGCCTCTCTGATTAACCCTTATTACATTGTAACAGCTAAGGCGAAGTGCCCAGCGACATGAGTGACGTTGAGTTGGCCATGCCCACATGGTCACATGACCACCGAGCCACACCAATCCAGCTGATCATTCGGGCAGAGAACCAGTTGGTAAATTATTTGAATCCCACCACTGCTTGTGACCCAAGTTATAAAGGCTTTCACAGGTTAAATCCAGCACTTTATGTGAGTTTTTAAGTCATTAAATCCTCCCATCTTAAGGTGACCAAGACTGAGAAATGCTGCCTTTACCTGATCTACCATACAGGTAGTCCAGAAGTTATGACCATTCATTTAGTGACCATTTGAAATTATAATAGCACTTAAAATAGTGACTTATGACTGCTTTTCACAATTATGACATTTGCAGCATCTCCATGATCAAAATTCAGATGCTTGACCACTGGTTCATATTTATGATGGTTGCAGTGTCCCCAGGTCATGTGATCCCCTTAGCTCACTTAACAACCGTGTTACTAACTTAATAACTGCAGTGATTGAACGGTGGCAAGAAAGGTCATAACAGATTAATAGAGTTGGAAGGGACCTTGTAGGTCATCTAGTCCAACCCCCCAACCAAGCAGGAGACCCTACCCCATTTTTGACAGATGGCAGTCCAGTCTCTTCTTCCAAACTTCCAGTGATGAAGCTCCCACAAGTTCTGAAGGCAAGCATTGGTTGATTGTTCTCACTGTCAGAAAGTTCCTCCTTATTTCTAGGTTGAATATCTCCTTGTTCAGTTTCCATCCATTATTCCTTGTCTGGCCTTCAGGTGCTTTGGAAAATAGCTTGACCCCTTCCTCTCTGTGGCAGCTCCTCATATATTGGAAGGCTGCTCTCATGTCTCCCCTGGTCCTTCTCTTCACTAGACTAGACATACCCAGTTCCTGCAACTGTTCATCCTATGTTTTAGTCTCCAGGCCCCTAATTATCTTAGTTGCTCTTCTCTGCACTCTTTCTAGAGTCTCAACATCTTTTTTATAGTGTGGTGACCAAAACTGGATGCCGTACTCTAGGTTTGGTCTTAAAATGGGGCAAAAGTCACTTAACAACTGTCTCGGTTAGCAATGGAAATTTTGGGCTCAATTGTGGTTGCAAGTTGAAGACTACCCTATAATTAAAGAAACATCTGCCTGGTGACTCTGGCAGTAAAGCAAAGGAAAGAAGCCCCTGGTTTTATCAGTACATTATTCTGCAAACTTATTTTGGTTACTTTGATTACTGGGTCATTCAGGGTCAGATCTCAAGCTTATTTACATCACTAAATTGTTATGAGGATAAAAGGTGGCCGGAAGTGCTAGAGAGTTATATATGAAGGGTTTTTTTTCTTAGTGGAAAATGAATTATAAATGCAGTTAAGAAAGAAGATAGGGTTAAGTCACTACTGTATAAGAAGCAATTTTAAACATTACAAAAACGTCTTGTTTCTCTTTTGACAATTATGTTGATTAAATGCATCTCAAATTCTTGCTTAAATTTAAAGCCTCTTCTATCTAGTTCCTCAATCAAAGAATGGAGGCCTTTGAACTCTGGTGCTGGAGAAGACTCCTGTGAGTCCCTTGGACTGCAAGGCGATCAAACCGGTCAGTCCTAGAGGAGATCAACCCTGACTGCTCTTTAGAAGGCCAGATCCTGAAGATGAAACTCAAATACTTTGGCCACCTAATGAGAAGGAAGGACTCACTGGAGAAGAGCCTAATGCTGGGAAGGACTGAGGGCAAAAGAAGAAGGGGACAGCAGAGAACGAGGTGGCTGGATGGAGTCACTGAAGCAGTCGGTGTGAACTTAACTGGACTCCAGAGGATGGGAGAGGACAGGAAGGCCTGGAGGAACATTGTCAATGGGGTGACGATGGGTCGGACACGACTTCGCAACTAACAACAACAGCAACAACTATCCATTTGTTTTTCAATGTGTGGTTCCTAACCGAACTGAGATTGTGGTCACTATAATATTAAAAAAAAATTACCCAGGCAACCACTTCTTCAAAATGGAGAGATGGGGTTCTTTCCCCTTATAATTCCATGGCAAAATTGCAAATAAGTATAACAAAGCAAATCTTCCGTGAGTCAATCTTTTTCCAAGTACATGATTTCTTTTCCAAAATTAAGTTCTTTTATCAAGGAGGAAATCCTTGCATTTAAGCCAGATTTAATCACGGCTTAAAGCAGATTCATTAATTTCATAAAATCTCAGCTGTCCTTTTGACTTAAATAGATCTGTTTTTGTTTTCTACTATTCAGGAATGCCTGATTCTCAAAAAAAACCTGCCAGCTTGAGTCCTTGTAATTTTCTTTTTCATTTTTTTTCAGAAACGGTTTGCCATTGCCTCCTTCCTAGGGCTGTGAGAGAGTGGCTGGCTCATGGTCACCAAGATGGCTTTGTGCCTAAGATTTTTCCTGGATTCTAGCCTCATGCCCTAATTGCTACATTAAACTGACTTTTAGATTTACTTTAAGAGGGTTCAGTCTGCAGGTAGCTCTTTACAAATATTTTTAAAGTAATATATGCATATGCATATTCAGGGTGCAAGGAAACAAATGGCAACTATTCGATAATATTACTTCAATCATTTCTTGCCCTCTGTCATAAATTTAGTTATTGATCTCTCCGGAAAGAAAGGAAGGAAGGAAGGAAGGAAGGAAGGAAGGAAGGAAGGAAGGGGGAAAGAAAGAAAGAATCCTAGTCCTTTGTCTGCAATTTCAGAAACAGAACACTGTATAGGAAAGATGCTATTATACTTGCAAATAGATTTAACTGTTTTCTTTCTTTTCCAAATGGAGGGGCACGCGTAGTTATTTGAGGTGTCTAAATCTATCACAGTTTACGCATTTTTGCAGTAGTGAAATCTTAGACCTTCCCAGCATGAGTTTGTTCCCCCAAACCTTCCTGGATGAATTGTTCCTCTCATTCATTTTATTTTAATTCCGTTCGCAAATGTAAGATGCTTTGACGGAAACCCAACGGAGGTTAAGCAAATAGCTTCCCAACTAATTACAAGAAACACCTTGCGAGATACATAACCACTACATAAAACGAAAGAGTACGAGTCCTACCTTTACCGTTTCTCGCCTGGTTTCGAGCACATTCTTTACATCCTCAGTGTGAGAAACAGTTTGCTGCTACAGTACATGTTTCCTCCTCTGCTTATTGCAGAAAGCAAAACTGCAACTCCTCTTTTCACGTGGACCGAAAGAGGAGACGAAGAAGCGCGGAAGTTAAAGGTGTCACTCGTAAACCTCTGAAGTTGTTCTCCAGGCGATATATTTTTTCCAACGTGCACCGTGTGATTAATTCTGAGCGATGACCAATTTCAGTAAGGAGCATGAAGCAGAAGGCACCCAAAATTCACAGTTCTGTTATAGTGGTGGAATCTATATATAGTCAACTGTTTTCCTCTTTACGGTTGATCTCACGGTAGGAAGAGAGCAGGGGGTCCTTGATTGACGTAGCCCGTATGCCACGAAGAACAGCAAACTCATGTAGTCTTTGACCTATGACCACAGTTGAGTGCCAAATTTCCATCACTAAGCAAGACATTTGTTAAGTGAGTTTGGCTCCATTTTATGACCTTTCTCTCCACCGTAGTTCAGTGAATCACCGCAGTTAAGTTAGTAACATGGTTGTTAAGTGTATCTGGATTCTCCATTGACTTTGCTTGTCATATGGTGGCAAACGGGGATCACATGATCCCAGGGACGCTGCAACCATCATCAATATTAGGTGCAAAGTGTCTGAATTTTGATCACATGACCATAATGATACCTTAAGGGTTATCAATGTGAAAAATGATCATAAGTCCATTTTTTCAGTGCTGTTGCAGCTTTGGGCAATGGAGTGGTGTGGTGGCCTAGAGGTGGAGCTCTCGCCTCAAAATCAGGAGGCTGTGGGTTCAATCCTAGATAGAAGCACATATTTCTTTCTCTGGTTACAATGAGAATATATCTGCTGTGAACTCCGCATTGGTGATAGGAAGGGCATCCGGCCAATAAACACTCAGCTCCTTTCAGTTGCCCTGATCCCACCCCAATGCAAGTGATTACGGGTTCATTAAAAAAAAAGGTGCAGCTTTGAACGATGACTAAATGAGCAAGGGCTACCTGTATAGGGTACCTTTTTAGAATCTGGGAAGTTGCTCGATGTAACTTTCTGACCAAGAGCTGGCTTGCCCTCACTTTGACTAAAATAAACAATATAGGCAGTGGTGAAATCCTATCGGTTCGCACCGGTTTGGGCGTGCCGGTAGTAAAAAAAAAAAGCTACCGGTTGGTCCGAAGCAGTATTTCTGACGATCAGCTGTGCTGCGCAATTTATATTTGCTAGAAAGTTGGAAATTCTGCTTTCTAGAGAATCTAAACAGCGCAGCACAGCTGTCCCCCCACCTTGCTGTTCTACTTACCTTAGAAAGCTTCCTTCTTCCACACAAAGTGCACATTTGGCATGCACTGTGTATGCGCATGTGCATTTGCAGGCAGCGGTAGCAAACCACAGAGGATTTCACCACTGAATATAGGGATATCTTCATCTCATCTAAATGGATTTGTAGGGTTAAAAAAAGGAACCAGGAAACCTTTACTGTGCTGGGAAACAGTTGAGCAATTAAAAATTCGTCCATAATGCCTGGATTTGCATAGAATGGTAGCAACGTTAAAATAGGGTTAGATCATCTCTGACTCAGCTATATGGCTGTGGTTTTTTTGGCCTGGGCACTGCTTACAAATAGTCCTCAATTTACAACAGTTTGTTTAGTGCCCGTGCGAAGTTACAACAACACTGGAAAAAAGTGACTTACGACCATTTTTCACACTTATGACCGTTGCACCATCCCCATGATCACGTGATCAAAATTCAGATGCTTGGCAACTGACTCGTATCTATGATGGTTGCAGCGTCCCAGATCCCATGAGGATCACAGTCTGCGACCTTCGAATGAGCCAAGTCAACGGGGAAGCCAGATTCACTTAATGACAGTATTGCTAATTTAACAACCGCAGTGATTCATTTAACAATGGTGATGAGTGAGGTCGTAAAGTGGGACAAAACTGACTTCATGCTTAGCAATGGAAACTTGGAGCCCAATTGTGGTCATAAATCGAGGACTTATCATATTTTTCGGACCAAAAGATGCACTTTTTTGTCTACCAAAAAAAGGGTGAAAATATCTGTTGCATCTTATAGACCGAATATTGCCAAAGCCTGAAAAAAAAATGGCCAATTTTTTTGGGAAAAAACAGCTTGAAAAAAGCCTCAAAATTGGGCCAAAAAAAGCCTCGATAACAGGCCAAAAAAGCTGAAAAAATGGGCCGAAAAAAGCCTAGAAAACTGGCCGTTCAAAGCCTTGAAAATGGGCTGGAAAAAGGCTGGAAAAGGCCAAAAAAGCCTTGAAAATGGGCTGGAAAAAGGCCGGAAAAGGCCAAAAAAAGGCTTGAAAATGGGGTGCACGGAGGCCAAAAACTTTTTTTTGTTGATTTCCGCTTCTAAATTTAGGTGCGTCTTATAGTCCGAAAAATACGGTATCTGCACTGCAATTCTTTCATGGCAAATTACACTTTCTAAATCTATTTTTAAAACAGCAATTTCCGGGTAAGGTCAAGACTTTTAATGCTTTGAGATGAACTCAGAAGGCTTCCAGGACCTCATCTAACTGAGCCTGTTAGGGCTTTTCTTCATTCTTGCCAGTTGGTGCCTGGTGATCACTTTAATGCCCCTTAATGAGAATCCTGAGATGGAAAAGCAGCTTTTAACTCATTGGCATGAGGAGATTTCTTCTAACCAGTTTGAAAATCCTGATATCTTGCAGCCATGAAGCGCTCAAAGGCTGGCTTTTGTTCCTCTTCTCCAAACTGGCTGACATCAGAGCTGGACAATTCCCCATCAACAGGGACCTTGGATTGAATTCTGCAGAAATTCAGGAGCAAAGTTATGTGGCTCATTTCAACCACACTCACAATTTATAGGAGAAAAGGAGGGGGGAGGGGGAGGGAAGGGGGAGAAAGAGGAGGAGGAGGAGAAGAACAGTGGGTCCTTGGTGCCTTTTGAACATATTCGTTTTTTTGCAGATGTTTCATGATCCACCAAGGTAACATCATGTTGTGGCCCGCCAGTGACCAGCAGAGCTGGCAGCAGATTCAGACAGTGTGGAAGTTGGGGAGGAATGTGGGCCAGTCCTGGAGTCTGGGGAAGGCTCGGACGAGGGCTCTGAATCAGGCAGAGAGGGAGCCAAGGCCATCTGATAGTTCTTTGCTGCCTCCGGAGTCTCCGGAGTCTGACATCAGCGAGGCAGAAGAACAGCGGGAGCCTGTTCCCAGTGTGCGCATGCGCAGAGCTGCCAGAAGACAGGAACAATTAAGGAAACAGGGTCGACTTGGGAGTAAGGCTTGGAGATGATTGGCCCCTCCCATAAGACATAAAAGAGAAGCGAACGGGACGTGAGCTTTTGCAGGAAGCAATTAGTTCATCTGGTCGCTAAAAGCTTTGGAAAAGTTCTGTTTGACTCTGTGCTAAATTTGGCCTTGTCTTGCGTGTGGCAGCATTCCAAGGGAGATAAGTTGGGTGTTTGTAAACACTCCCCTGAAAAACTGTCTGAGAAGCCTTTCAGACTGGGAATGACAATAATTCACAGCCGTATGAATTAAAGAGGTTTGCCGGGACTGAGATTGTGCTGTATACTTTCTAAGGAACACATCATCAGTTACTTTGCAATTACATTTTTTTTTTAAAAAAAACAAATCTTCTTGTCCACCCTATGCAATATATGTGGCGATTGCTACCATCTTGGTAGTAGATTAACAGATTAACAGAGTTGGAAGGGACCTTGTGGGTCATCTACTCCAACCCCCCACCCAAGCAGACCCTGTGTTGGGGTGGCAGAATATGCCTACATGTTATGATGCAATGAATGAAGAGGAGTCTCTCGGAGGGAAAAAGATATGGGTGTATCCTGCTTTAGCACCAAAAATGTGGCAGGAAATCAACCCCAGGTTGAAGAAATGAAAGTCCTCTCATTGGCTGATGAAATCTGCTTGTTTCACTCCTCTCCCACAGATTGAAATATTTTTTGCTCTCATTCCTGAAAGAACTTGTAAAAGTTGCCCAGTTTTGGATCAAAGAGTGAGGCCAAGGACTGGCTTTAACTATGGCAATGATAGATGGCGGTGTAGAGGATTATAAAAAGGACAAACCAGGGGTGAAATGCTCCCAGTTCAGACTGGATCACCTGATCCGGTAGCGATGGCGGTGGGTGGTTCGGAGAACTGGTAGTTAAAATCCCTGCACCCCCCCCTCATGCCCAGCTGAGCCGCCCGATCATCAGAGGCTTTTTTTTTTTACTTTTAAAAGCATTTTTTCTACAACCTCTTCTGATGGAAAAAATGCTTTTAAAAATTAAAAAAAAAAAGCCTCTGATGATCGCGCGGCTCAGCTGGGATCGTCAGAGGCTTTTCAAAGCATTTTTTTTCCTGCAACCTCTTGGCCGAAGAGGGGGTATAAAAGTTTTAAAAAAAAAAGTTGGCCATGCCCACCCAGTCACATTACCCCCACACACACCAAGCCACGCCCACAGAACCGGTAGTAACACATTTTACATTTCACCCCTGGGACAAACACATCTTTGTTTTGCTTTACATAGTTTCTCTTAGATGGAGGCCTTTGTGGAATCTCCCAAAACAATTGCATATGTGGTTGATCAGTGGGATCCAGTGGTGGGATTCAAATTTAACAACTGGTTCTCTGCCCTAATGACCGGATGGGTGGGCGGGGCCATGGTGGGCATGGCCAGGGGTTGTGACAGGCAGCATTCAGCCTCCTGCACCCCCCTGGGAGCAAAAACGGGCCACGTTTTGGGCGTAGTAGGCCTCCCTGCACTTACCTGGGAGCCAAAACAGGGCGCCTGGGAACTTCTGGAAGGGGCTGGGCCAGCCAGCAATTTAACAACCAGTTCAGCTGAACCAGCTGAATCCCACCACTGGTGGGATCAATCGAAACATATCGGTGGCACAGTGGTTAGAGTGCAGTACTGCAGCCTACTTCTGCTGACTGCCGATTGCCGGCAGTTCACCAGTTCGATGCTCACCAGGCTCAAGGTTGACTCAGCCTTCCATCCTTCCGAGGTGGGTAAAATGAGGACCC